TCTGCTTTCTGCTAGTTTCTCCACCCCCTACCAGTGCCACCCCCCCCACACACACACCTTGTGGCAATCAAAGCCTTTGAATTATCTTGTACTTCAGACAAGTAAGTGTGGTCAGTGGTCCTTTTAAATTAATTACAAGCTTGTCAGGCACTTGCAGAAAAATGACACTGTGGCTATTGAAAATAATTAGTACACAGATTGGTGTCAGTTTGATCAGCATAAAAGATACCTGTATTGCATTTCAGGAAAAGGCATCAGTTAAAGATACAATCTTTAGCTTGTTTCCTCTGTTTTGTCTAATTCAGAGGACTACAGTAATTGCAAGCATGTAGAGTTGGAGGTGGGAAAATAGCACTCAGCTTGAAGAGGTGAACACATGTTCTTATACTTGAACAAGTGAATTAGTAATTGCAAAACAATGCAAAGTTTGACCTTATTTTTTAAGTATCTAAAAGAATCAATATAAACCAAAATGTTTTATTAGGCAATTAAAGGCTTTATTTCATTTCCATATGGATTGATTTGTTGATGTAGCATAGAGAGAGTGAAGTTACTCCAGCACATCCATGCCTTCAACTGCTTGTTTCTTATTCCCTTAATTCCAAGAAGAAAATGCTAAGTTAATAAGGATTCGTTTTCTTTTTAATATACAATGTATTTTTTGTATAAACGTGTAAATAGGAATCAAATGTTAAGGCAGTTCAACTTCCAAAGATAGACTCTGAAAGAGATAGGGTTACTGAAATTTTTAATGTCGGCACTCTTAAGTATCCTTTGGCCTCATGATCAAGTATTGTAGTTGTTTCATAACAAAAGCCTTTGGAGGGAGTAGGAATGTTCATTCTCAAAGTTTTTCAATGTATAGGACTTGAACTGTGGTTCCTGAGTTGAGGACCTGTAGGATACTTTCCTCTGATTCAGCAAGCGGCCTCACAGCTTCTCTGCTGTGTGTAGCCCACCAGCAGAGATAGTCGTGTCACAGTCTAGCCTGGCTCCATCTGGGAAGGGACCTCTCAGGTTTGAAGTCCTATTAAAAAAAAAAAAAAAAAAAAAAAAAAAAGAGTTGAACTTGTTGAACTTCAGTCTCTGTCTTGAGAAATACCTTAAAGAACAGATCATTATATAAAGAGGCATTATGAGCCCAAGTATTCACAGCTGTTCTTCAGAAAAGGGTCCCTGCTTTGGAGTCCAGGTTCACAGAAGAATCTCCGTACACTTAATGCAAAGAAGGCCTGGGTACTTTCTTTGTAGCATACTGTAGACAGATGCCTAGAGAGCCTACTCTCTGATCTCACCTCTGTTAATGTTACCTAATTATCTGCAGATATGATACTCTTGCCACTCAATGCAGATTTCCTTGTGGGAACCAGAAGGCTGCTTGATTTTATGATGCTTAATTCTGAGTTTTCTGTAGTGCAGGCCCATTAGCAAACTCCACAAGCCTTTTACCTGTTGCTGTTCTGCCGCTCAGAGCAGCATCACTATGTGGTAGGTTAACCCTGCTGAGCAACTCAGCACCGCATTTTGCACTCCCCCACAGCAGGATGGGAGGGAGAATCAGAAGGGTCAGAGTGGAAAAACTTGTGGGCCGAGATAGAAAGTTTAGAAGGTAAAACAAAAGCTGTTGTGCATAAGCAAAACAAGGAATTTATTCCCTCCTTCCCATCAGCAGGCTAGTTATTCAGCCGTCCCTGGGAAAGCAAGGTTCCCTCATGTGTAATGCTTACTTGGGAAGACAAACACCATCACTCTGAACATCCCTGCTTCCTATTAGGGAGTATCCCTTTGGAGAGTTGGGGTCAGCTGTCCCAGCCATATCCCCTCTCAGCTTCTTCCAGGCTACTCACTGGTGGAGCAGTATTAGAAGCAGAAAAGACCTGCTGCACAAGCACTGCTCAGCAGTAGCTACATCACCTCTGTATTATCAACACTGTTGTCAGCTCAAATCCAAAATGTAGCCCCATAACAGCTACCACATTTAACTCTGTCCCAGCCAAAACCACTACAGAATGTTTTAAAAACTTAATGAGTGATCACATAAAACACATTCCATCCATTTTAAGCATTGGTTAAAGTTGCAGTGTTCGTAATAATTTTATTAATTAGTACTTTTATATTTCAGCTAATTAATCTCTCCAGGAAAATGATGAGATGGTGCACGTGATCTGATTGCCTGAAGGATACTTTTGTTTTTAATCATGACTTGGTTACATTTTCATCATGCTAGAAAAATGTACATGTTTTCTAGCATGTCATGAGCTGTAATAGGCATTTTAAAATTCTGAATTTGCTTAGAGTTATTACTTCTTGAATTTGTCTACCTTGCAGTTTTTCCTCACTATTGTATTTCTGAGCCAACTCTTTGTTTTTAGCCCGTTGTTTAATGTTCTTCTCATTAAGATGTATTGTTTCAGTATTTACAATGTCTTTATCTGACTCTTCTGAAACAGGTCATGTCACTCTTCATTGGTGGTAATTGAAATTTAGATACAGTTTGTTTACCTAGTGATACGGGGCATTACTAATAAATTCTGCCCTATTTGAAGAAAGATTATCTTGACAGTCTCAGGCTTTGGTGGCCTTAGTATCTAGCATTCAGTGGAATAATAAGCTACAATCTTAATGCAAAATCTGAGAATGTGATTTTAGAAGTTAGAGTGTTTAAAGTAATTTTGAAGATTCCATTATTTAAATTTCCACCAAGTAGAAAAATGCAAGATTGATGCAGGAAATGATCATTCACATTGAGAGAAATAAGGAAAGAATAAAATAGAGGTATTGTATTTGGTAGAAAGGACGCGGTTAGTTATATGATTACTTTCTACCTTGCAATAATATTACAACAACAAAATAATCTTTAGAAGATGAGTTTAATGAGAAGATTAATGTACACATTATTATTTTAATGGGTGGGATTTTTGTTTACGTTACCAAAAAATTCAGCTTTCCAGCAATGTGAAACATTGTCACCTGTTGTTCAAAATTACTGATAGCTTAATTACTGCTTAGCTTACAAGAAGCAGCTTTGCTCCTTTCTATTTACTGGCAGAGAACTTTGCTAACGATTGAGGGATATGTTATTTAACCTAAGTGTGTAGTATGATAAAGATGCTTTTCCTATGGCAAACTATTCAAGTCTTGTATGTCTTTCACCCTCTTGATATATTAGAGATTCCAAACAACAACAACAAAGAAACCGCCAAAAAACGCAAAACCATATAGAAGTTTACTCTAGTGTTACAACACATATCACAGAAACTCTTAATAAATTAGCTTTTAAAGCTAATTATAAAGCAGTTTCTTGTGTTCCTGTTAATATCATTACTTTGTTTATTCTTTAAACTTCTTAAAGCAAGGAAGCATAACTGTAGTATGTCAATGTATCTCCATTAGTAATGCTCTGTTGGTTAGCCTAGAGCATGTTTTGTCCAAGCAGCACAGCTTAATCCTTGCCTGTGACGAGCGAGTCTCTATGGCAAGTGAGCCTCCACATAAACTTATAAATGTTCCAGTATTCTTCCTGTGTTGAGTTGAGTTCTGGCCTCTGATGCTGGATAGAACAAGATCATTTACAGTTTTCAGGTCCTGGTCATTGCCTGTGTATTTAGGGTTCATACTGTGCTGGTAAATTAACAAACCCCCACACACACACACAAACCCCCCCCACTACTACAAAACTCCAAAGCACCTTCCTGAAAAGACTGGGTATCTGTTCCTGTAACTTCAAGGAGGAGACTTATTTTTCCATTTATGGTGAAGAGAAATGAGTATCAGTAACAAGAGTCTGTGAGGTTTGCTTGTAAGAGCTCTTTCAGTCAAGTCTTGAAGTGAAGGAGGAGGTTGAGCATTAGCTATGAGGTTTTTTAATTGTTAAAAAACCATCTCACAACTGGAATCTGTATGTGTTTTAAACTTGGTATAATGAAGTTCACAAGCCAAAATGGTGCTGTTGTTGAATGGCCATTATGTTGGAACTATAATTACACTATATAAGTGAAAGTTTGTTTTATACCACAGACTGAAGATATTGTTTAAAATTTGTATATTCTGATGCTTCTTAATTTAAATTAGTTGATTTAATACAAACCTTATTATGTGGTGTGGGTAACCCCTTTTTTTGTGGGGAAATGTTTTTTGGTGTACGTAGTTTTTCTGTAATGCTTGTTTAACATTTACTGAGGTGGTGTACAACATTCCATTTAGGATTTTTCAACATTTATAGTAAGAACTATTTGACTCTTCCAAAAAGATGAGAATCAGACTGTATCAAGGTTAATCGCTGTTTATAGAAGATGAAGCCTTCAGTGTAATGTAGCAGGTGAATAAGTCACGGTGTTCAAGAGCAGCTCTATTTGATTTTCAATTAGAGTCCAGAAGTACAAGTTACAGAACCAGGAATGAAACCCAGAACTAGCTTTGTATCATAACATTAGACTGTTCAGATATTACATTTTTTTCTTATTAATAAAAGATAAAACAACAAAGACATTGCTATCCTATACATCCAGTAATAGAATTAGAAACAATCATTAAAATGGTATTTTTTTGGCTTCTGCAGAGAGGCCTCTACTTTGTAGGCTTTGTCATGGCTGTATGAAATCTTTCTTTGTGGTGAAAAGTAGGTGGTAAAGGAAATTTTAAATTATTATTAATTTTTAAAGCCTCCATAAGCACACACTTGCACTACTAGAACATTTCTGTTAGTGTTAGTGACCAGGGGATCCTTCATTTTGCTTTTCTTGGCAAATCAGTCCAGAAAGATTTTTGATGGATTTCACAGCTCTTTAAATTTATTTATTTTTTTCCTTAAATTGTACTGCAGCCAGCATTCTGAGTAGGTGCCTGTTTGCTGTGATAAATTTCTCTGTGATAATTTACTCTCTCATTCCTCATTTTATAACAGTCAATTCTTACGGATCTGCACAGTATAATCCAACTGAGTATATTTTAGTGCATATAAGGTTGTCATGCTTAACTTCGTTCTGTTTTTTTCCTCATAGGTATATTCGAATTGTTGGGACCCACAACACAGTGAACAAAGTTTTCCATATTGTGGCATTTGAATGCATGTTCACAAACAAAACCTTTACTCTTGAGAAAGGTCTGATAGGTAAGAGATAAATTTTTCCCTTTTGCATGGACTGTTGTAAACACTTGCCTTTTAAGACTGAGTGTCGCTGCACTCTTACTCCTGTTTCCACACGGAAATGTCTAACTTGAGATAGATGATAATATAAACATAGCTTCAATTGCTGAAAGTAAACTCTCATGTTGATTTTCCCTCAAAGGGTCATAGACATGCTTAGCCATGGCAGAACGTAATCCTTATTCTCACAACACCACGTTGACACAGCTCTGTTACATCTGGAGCTCTGCACAGCTTGTATTATTCCATGTGCCTCTACATGCTACTGCATTACTCAAGTTAGAAATCCCCAAAAGACCAACAATACTGTCTGATAAACTATGTCCAAGTAAGGTTGAATGTAGATTTATTTTTTTTTAATAGTACAAAGAGGGTGATTTCTGTCCTTCCTGAAATTCATTGGAAATAGTTTTGTGTACCTCTTAGTAGCTGTCTATGTGGGATTTTCCACAGCTTGTTACTTATGACATGAAATAGAGAATTTCAGCAAAATTCTCAGAGTTCGTGCTGGTGTGAAACATCAGTTAAATTGTACATATGCCCCTACAGTCAATGGAAGAGAGAAAAGTTTTCTTTCTAGCACTATCTGGTGTTTTAATGTTGCTTTACACTTTGTTGTCTTGTGAAACAAGGTTAGTGACAGAAATTAATTCAATCATATGAAATTACTTCCTAACGTAGATGTTAGAGTTGAGATGTAATTTTCCTTAATGCATGGTATTATCTCTAAATGTGTAAGTTAACAGTTCTGCATATTAGAGTCATGAGATTTACATAGCTTTCATTTAACAGAGATATAAATACTTTTTAAATCTGAAAAGCATAATATTTGCTTTTAATTAACTTATGCTTCTGAAATTCTGAATGGTCTTTAGTCATAAAATATTTAAACTAGAATCCAAAACATATGAAATTTTTCACATGCAAGAGATGCACTCCTTTAGGGCAGAAGCAGTACCCAGTGTGACATAAAAATTTGTAAAAGCTTCTTAACTGCCCATTGGCAGGAAGTTGCAGCAGAAGGTACAGGACTGCTTGTATGGAGTGCCTTCTTTGGTTTTGCAGTTTTCTCCTCACCTAAGTATAGGAACAAATTCCTCTTTTATTCCTTAAAGGGAAAAAATTTCTAACCTTGCTTAGTCCGTTAATGAGTACTTGGTGCTGAGGGGCAGCCAAGGACTATGCAGGCATGTAGGTCTGACCAGCCTACCATCATATTTTGAGCCTGGCTAAAGTCATAGGGAGTGCGGTGTTGGAAGGCTTTTACATGAGGTTATGTTTATCTGTGGTCTGTCTCGGTCTATCAGACTGTCTTGTAAGTAGTATGTTACACATGAAAGGTAGAACAATAAATAATGACTGAAGAGAAGGACGTAGATGTAGAACATCCTTGGTCACCCTCTGGGAAATGCTATTCAGTACTTATGAGTCATTCTGAAATGTCATTTATATGCTGTTCAATGCCTTAGAACTTGTTTTAAGGGGGGTGGAAATTAAATTACTAAATAATAATTTACTTGTCTTTTACTTACTGGTAGTAATTTAAAAAAATTAAATGTGTATCAGAGAGAAACCAGTCGTATCAGCTTCTGAGTGTGTGGTTCAGCTTTGTGAAAGATTGCCCTACTTGTCTCCAAGGAAACAGTGAGAGATGCTATTTTTGTGTCTAGTTTAATGTCAACTCCACACAAAGCTAACATGTTTTGTTTATCTTTTTAGAGGTTAGCCTTCTTTTAAAACCATGCAGGTTTACCCAGCAATGTAAGTCAGCTCTGCTGCAAGCATAGCCTTAGGAAACTATGAAAATTTGAAGGTGATCTAAATACTGCAGGGATTTTATTTTTTTCTCTCTTTCTACAGGAAAAGACAGCCACTTGGTCAGTGTAGTTACTGCCACCTATTCTTCAACAGAGATCTGTTCATGTGGTTCCAGTTACTTTTTTTTTTCCTTTTCTTCCTATTTGCAGTGCTCCAATGAAAGATACATACTTCCTAGGGCTCATCTGAAGCAATTACTATTTCACAAAGCCTTCTTCAGGCAGAATGTTTAATGAAAGAGCCCAGTAGCCAGCCAGTTGATTGGCAATTAAAAATATGGCCAGTTCCAATTACTTGAATGCTCTTGTTCTAATTTATTGGATTAGAAATCACAAGCTGAAAAGTTAGATGAAAAATCATCCTTCTCTGAAGTTACTGTAACCCAGTCAGCTGGACATTGACAAATATTAATGAGGTTTTCTTCTCCAGGTAAATACAACTTGCAGGATCAGGTGGAAATGCTGCTGGTACTTGTTTGAAGTTGATATTTTTTTTGCTTCATAATTGATTTATTGATTAAAGATTCAAATGAATTTTAGAAATGCCATCAGCAAGTTTCAGCTCAAGAAAACAAAGAGTATGTGGAAGGGAAGAGATTTGACTTTGTGACTGTACCTTCAATTAACTGAAAAGTTTGTAGACTTAATATTTTCTTCTGTGCCAAATAAGTAAGTGCTAATTCATATACTGAATGAAAATTAGACTTAACAAATCTTTTGGCATGTGGAGAATAATGAAAGCAAAATGCACAGCATCCTTTCAATTATTTAATACAGTAAAATAAAACCTTGGACATCCCTAATTTTCTATTCATTTAATTATTTGTTTGATTTTTATTTTCCTCTCAACTTTCTTTTTTCTAACTATCACTTTCTACCGAGGAAAATTTTTCAGCTCAGTAGATGTTCAGGTAGAGAGGGAATGCAACTTTACTGTTAAATATGAAGCAATTGAAATCTGAGCTTTAACAGCTGTCAGCATGAGAGAAAAAAATCACTTCTTTGTACAAACTAAAGCAAAAATTTATTTGCTCCAACATAATTTCTTGTTTATAGTTTCTTTACAAGGTGATAGTTCTGTGTCTTAAGAGAGTTCAGCAAAATTAGCATTGTATTGCAGTAATGACACTTAAGCTGACAACCTTTGTCTGACAGTCATCTACAGTACATTATCAATATATTCAAAAGTCCAGAATTCTTTATGTTACTGCATTGCTATAAAGTAAGACTACCCAGTAGATCTACTGTGTCTCTTTTTATTTTTGAAATAAATTGTAATTTGAATTAAGACTCATTAATGGCTGTTTATGTGAGCTGGGGCAGAAGCCTACTCCATGCTGTTCTTCCCGTGTTGCAGAGTTGTTTGAGGACTCTGTAATTTTTTTTCCCTCATCTTAGCCAATTCTGTCAGTGAAGTTACAGTGGATGGACAGAAAGCAAAATCTGACCTTTCCAGACTGGGAAATGAAAGAAAGTCCTTTACACTTAGATATGGAAGCCAGTTAACAGCAGCTCTGTTAATTTAAAAAACCAACCAACCAAAAAAAACCCCAAACCACCTTAAAAGTGATAGATAGATAGATAGATAGGTAGATAGATAGATAGATAGATAGATAGATAGATAGATAGATAGATATGACTGATGTCGACCAGATAGTCGTGGTACATTTTTCTCCTGGAGGATCTCTAAGGACAGTTGAATGACATACCCATTTTATCTTTAAATGTAGCCTAAGTGCATCTGACCCTTAGGCCATACCTTGGAAGTTACAATCCTTTATAAAGATACTGCTACTAGAATTAAATATACTTTCAAGCTGTTCATCACTCCATAGTGCAGCATAAAAGTAGGAGAAGAGAAAGTAAATTTTAATAAATGTTTTGGTGCCACTGTCTCCTTTGACCTCAATCATAATCTCATTTTATTTGCCTACAAAATATGTATGCTTTGCTAACACACATTTTTTCTGTTCTGTTAAAGCAAATCAGATTTTTCGGAGCAAAACTGTTGTATGAACAGTGGAAAAAAATAATTTCTGTATTTATAATCCCTTCTTTGTTTTCTCTTACAACATTGGTTACTGTAAAAGCTGGATAGCTGCTGGATTAAAAAACAAAACACAACAAAATCAGAAACGAGTATTGGTTTTGGCATTATGTTTTTGTGAACAAGTGACCGAAACTGAAGCAGAAATTCTGAGGGGAAAAGGGAAGAGAACCAGAAGAGCTGAAAATACAACACTGAGCAGAATCCCTACCAGATGGTATTTTTAATAAATTTATCAAGTGGATATAAAAGATGATAATGAACATTCAAAATAGGGAGTGGCAGACCCCTCTAGAGAGAAGGAACAGTATGCCACCGTCTGCACACTGCAATTATTTAGAATCACTTTCTAATTAACTGTTGTAGGGAGGAACACAGAATCATATTAAAAAAACACTAAGACAGTTTCTGTACAGTCGTTAAGGTGTTTCACTGATGAAGATAACATCATCTTAAATTGTCATGGATTAGTGCAGAAATCTAAATGTGAGAAGGACAGTCTAAATGTTCTGGGGACATGAAGGTAAAATACTGGATGAACTGAGCTTTACTGTGTTTGATAAATGCCTTACAGAGCCCAGCAGGGGTCCAAAATATGCCATAGAACCTCAACATGAATATTGATTTTGACATTGCATCTTTTATTTGTTTTTTTAACCTAGATTTCAGTAGCTTCCTCTTCCTACAAATAGCAGCAATATATAGAAGATGCTTTAATACCTATATAAAATGGATACTCAAAAAAGTTGAGTATCCTGCCAGGGGAGAGGGGAAGAAAAGGAGGCCAAGGCAAGCTATATTTTGATGGCAGTACTCTGTTTGCCCTGTTAAGTCTTTGCTTTATTCAGATTGTTCCCAGTGAAGTACTCCTTATGTCTACGACCTGCTGCGTCAAGAATCTGGGAATTTCTGAATGTCATTTTTCATTAATAGGGAATCAAGAGGTTTCTAGAATAATAATATGGTGTCTTTAGTAGTTTTTTAGAAGCAAGCAGAGATGATCATACATTTGATTGTGCACTAGATATTTCAGAAACTGCTGCCTTTCCACTGCCTTGGATTATTACTTGGCACATCTTGTGCTTTTTCCCTTTGTGTTTTATGGTGTTTTGATTGGTTTATGATTTTCTTAAGGTCATGCTCCTGACTCCACTTGCATACTTAAAACACAGAATCCTAGCTCTTCATGGAAAATTATCTGGGTTTTTTTGGTTGCTGGAGACTCTTACAATTAGCTCTGAAATTTCATATATCTGTATTTTAGCCATTTTTAGATGTTGCAATATTTTAAATGCATACTTTACAGAAAACTATTAAATGTAATGAAGTTATCAGTGTGTAGTGGGCTTAAAATGTCACATTTGCATCTGTACTACACATAATTTGTTTTCTAGTAAAAATTGAAAGTGTTTGTGCATCTTTTTTTTATACTTTTTAATATACTTTTTTTATACTTTTCTTGTTTTGGCTTTTCTTTTCTTTTTTTCTGGCATTCAAAACTGTTTGGTCTAAGATACTATGAATTTGGAAATGTTGTTAAATTGATTCTTGTCATTCAGATAAATTTGCTAAGTTTATTTTTTTCCACTCTCTTTTAAATTGCACTACCACAAATATGGGTTTTTCATCAGAACTGGGAGTTGTCTCCCTTGGGGGACAGTGCTGAAGGGTAGAGTCCAGAAAGACTGGACATACTTCAAAAAAAGAGGTCTTAAAGGTGCCGGAGCAGGCTGCTGATGTACTGAAAGAAGAGTTGGCCATGAAGAAGAGCAGCCTGGCTGAAAAGAGAGCTTTAGCTGGAACTCAGGAACAGAAGGAGAATTTATGGCCTTTGGAAGAGGGGGCAGGCCTCTCATGAGGACTACAAAGATGTAGTGAGGCTATGCAGGGAGAAAATTAGGAGAGCCAAAGCCCAGCTAGAACTCAAGCTAGCTACAGCTATTAAATACAACAAAAAATGTGTCTATAAATACAGCAAAAACAAAAGTAGGGCTAGGTAAAATTTCCACTCTTTATTGGAGGTGAGGCAAAACTTGGTGACAAAGGATGAGGTAAAGGCTGAGGTGCTTAATGCCTTCTTTGCCTCAGTCTTTACCAGTACAACTAGTTGTTCCCTGGTCACCCAGCACCCTGAGCTGGAGGATAGGAAGAAGGGACAGAACAAAACATTCTCAATCAAAGAGGAAACGGTCAGGGACCTGCTGCAACACTTAAAACATACACAAGCCTATGGGGACGGATGGTTTGCACCCAAGGGTACTGAAGGAGCCTGCATGTGCTCACCAAGCCTCCTTCCATCATTTACCAGAAGTCTTGGCAAACTGGGGAAGGCCCAGTGGACTCGAGGGTGGCAGATGTGACCCCCATCTACAGGAAAGGCTGGAAGGAGGATCTGGGAAACTACAGACCCATCCATCTGACATTGGTGCCAGGGAAGGTCATGGAGCAAATCATCTTGAGTGCTATTATGCACCATATAGAGAGCAACCAGGTGATGAGGCCTAGTCAGCATGGGTTTATGAAAGGCAGGTCCTGCTTGATGAACCTGATCTTCTACAACAAGATGACTTGCCTGGTGGATAAGGGAAACACTGTGGATGATATCTACCTGGACTCTCATAAAGCCTTTGGCACTGTCTCCCATGGCATTCTCATTAAAAAAACTGGCTGCTCATGGCTTGGATGGGCATGCTGTGGAAATGGAATTGTAATCTTGCAGTTTTCAACAGAACATCCCTGACTCTAGTCATCATTTTCCCGGGAGTGGTTTTACTAATTTGAAAATTCTTCGAGTTCCCTAACTTGCTCATTTTCCCTGTAATATTCAAATAACTGCATATAAGGTAAATGAAAGAAGGCAAATTTAATATTTGACAGTAAAACCTTTTCCTTTCTTTGGCATAGCGGGCTACTGCACGCTGGCTTTTTTTATGGCTGCATAGAGGATAAAAAAAGAATGATCCAGAAAAGATCTTTGATTAAATTAGTAAAGCTGGGAAGTACTCTATAATGTCATCACTATTTCCTGGAAGAAAAACACTGTGCTGTGTTTTGGCCTTCCTTATTACAAGAGGATGGATTCTAAGTAGTTTCTTTTGCTGTTGGGGTATTATAATTTCTTTTTTTTGTGGTAGTCTCTTGACTGAATGAGAAATACTTCTGCACTTGCTGTTCCATCTTTGTGGCAGATCTGTTGTCCTCTCCTTCCTTCTTATTGTCCAATACTTGTATTGTGGGATTTTGTAAGGATTAAGAAACATTTTCATTTTCTAAATTTTGGGGTGCAGCTTACAATCACAGTCAGACATTGCTGGAAGAACCTACAGGTACATGTTGAGAATAGTCACCTGAACTTTGAGGCTTCGAACCCTGGTTTCAAATACTGAGTCCTAACTCCCCACAGTCCAGATCACTCCTTTAAACTATCTCCCGCTTACTTTTTTCTCTTTTTTTCTCCTTTTTTTTAATTTTTTTTCTTTCTTCCTCTGTGGGTGGGTGGTTCATCATGAAAACAGGAAGAAATTGTTTCAAAATTTCAGAAGTTGCTGAACATTTTATTTTTTTTCACATTTGTATCAAAAGACTGCTTTCTTACCACCAAGAAAGAAACCCATCTGTTAATTCACCAAGCTTTTCTGGTATTAATGCTGTAAAAGTTATCTGTAGCACTTCATTCTGGTAACTCATATTCTATAAGAGTTAAATTTCCTTTTGTTGCTCATTCTTCAATCCTTTTTTTTTTTCCTTTACTCCAATTCTTTGCCAGAAATAAAGATAATTGGTAGCTGAACCATTTTCTAATTGTATGTCTGTCATCTCTGTGTTCTACTCCACAGTTCCCACTGAAAATGTTGCAACAATTGCAGACTGTGCCAGTGTGATTGAGGGTGTAAGTCGCAGTCGCAATGCCTTGTTGAATGGAGACACCAAAAACTATGACTGGGATTCTGGGTACACATGCCATCAGCTTGGCAGTGGAGCTATTGTAGTGCAGCTAGCACAGCCCTACATGATTGGATCAATACGGTAAGAGGGTTTCTTTTTCTCTAAATTAAGGGCAACAGTGAAACTTTTGCTGAGCCCAGGGGTTTTTTTAGAATATATTACATTTGGATGTGATGGTATTTAGGCAACCTGTTTAGTAGTTGGCATTTGGCTTCTTACTTCAGTAATGGGCATGTTAAAAATTAAATGTGTAAATTATATATCAAAGTATTGCAGGGCAGTTCCAGAAAAAATCTATTTCAGAGTAATAATAGTAGTAATAGTCAATTTGTAAAATTAAAGGTATATAATTAAATTAAAATATGTGATAGTTCTGTGTCTTAAGAGAGTTCAGCAAAATTAGCATTGTATTGCAGTAATGACACTTAAGCTGACAACCTTTGTCTGACAGTCATCTAGAGTACATTATCAATATATTCAAAAGTCCAGAATTCTTTATGTTACTGCATTGCTATAAAGTAAGACTACCCAGTAGATCTACTGTGTCTCTTTTTATTTTTGAAATAAATTGTAATTTGAATTAAGGCTCATTAATGGCTGTTTATGTGAGCTGGGGCAGAAGCCTACTCCATGCTGTTCTTCCCGTGTTGCAGAGTTGTTTGAGGACTCTGTAATTTTTTTTCCCTCATCTTAGCCAATTCTGTCAGTGAAGTTACAGTGGATGGACAGAAAGCAAAATCTGACCTTTCCAGACTGGGAAATGAAAGAAAGTCCTTTACACTTAGATATGGAAGCCAGTTAACAGCAGCTCTGTTAATTTAAAAAACCAACCAACCAAAAAAAACCCCAAACCACCTTAAAAGTGATAGATAGATAGATAGATAGATAGATAGATAGATAGATAGATAGATAGATAGATAGATAGATAGATAGATAGATAGATAGATAGATAGATAGATAGATAGATAGATAGATAGATAGATAGATAGATAGATAGATAGATAGATAGATAGATAGATAGATAGATAGATAGATAGATAGATAGATAGATAGATAGATAGATAGATAGATAGATAGATAGATAGATAGATAGATAGATATGACTGATGTCGACCAGATAGTCGTGGTACATTTTTCTCCTGGAGGATCTCTAAGGACAGTTGAATGACATACCCATTTTATCTTTAAATGTAGCCTAAGTGCATCTGACCCTTAGGCCATACCTTGGAAGTTACAATCCTTTATAAAGATACTGCTACTAGAATTAAATATACTTTCAAGCTGTTCATCACTCCATAGTGCAGCATAAAAGTAGGAGAAGAGAAAGTAAATTTTAATAAATGTTTTGGTGCCACTGTCTCCTTTGACCTCAATCATAATCTCATTTTATTTGCCTACAAAATATGTATGCTTTGCTAACACACATTTTTTCTGTTCTGTTAAAGCAAATCAGATTTTTCGGAGCAAAACTGTTGTATGAACAGTGGAAAAAAATAATTTCTGTATTTATAATCCCTTCTTTGTTTTCTCTTACAACATTGGTTACTGTAAAAGCTGGATAGCTGCTGGATTAAAAAACAAAACACAACAAAATCAGAAACGAGTATTGGTTTTGGCATTATGTTTTTGTGAACAAGTGACTGAAACTGAAGCAGAAATTCTGAGGGGAAAAGGGAAGAGAACCAGAAGAGCTGAAAATACAACACTGAGCAGAATCCCTACCAGATGGTATTTTTAATAAATTTATCAAGTGGATATAAAAGATGATAATGAACATTCAAAATAGGGAGTGGCAGACCCCTCTAGAGAGAAGGAACAGTATGCCACCGTCTGCACACTGCAATTATTTAGAATCACTTTCTAATTAACTGTTGTAGGGAGGAACACAGAATCATATTAAAAAAACACTAAGACAGTTTCTGTACAGTCGTTAAGGTGTTTCACTGATGAAGATAACATCATCTTAAATTGTCATGGATTAGTGCAGAAATCTAAATGTGAGAAGGACAGTCTAAATGTTCTGGGGACATGAAGGTAAAATACTGGATGAACTGAGCTTTACTGTGTTTGATAAATGCCTTACAGAGCCCAGCAGGGGTCCAAAATATGCCATAGAACCTCAACATGAATATTGATTTTGACATTGCATCTTTTATTTGTTTTTTTAACCTAGATTTCAGTAGCTTCCTCTTCCTACAAATAGCAGCAATATATAGAAGATGCTTTAATACCTATATAAAATGGATACTCAAAAAAGTTGAGTATCCTGCCAGGGGAGAGGGGAAGGAGGCCAAGGCAAGCTATATTTTGATGGCAGTACTCTGTTTGCCCTGTTAAGTCTTTGCTTTATTCAGATTGTTCCCAGTGAAGTACTCCTTATGTCTACGACCTGCTGCGTCAAGAATCTGGGAATTTCTGAATGTCATTTTTCATTAATAGGGAATCAAGAGGTTTCTAGAATAATAATATGGTGTCTTTAGTAGTTTTTTAGAAGCAAGCAGAGATGATCATACATTTGATTGTGCACTAGATATTTCAGAAACTGCTGCCTTTCCACTGCCTTGGATTATTACTTGGCACATCTTGTGCTTTTTCCCTTTGTGTTTTATGGTGTTTTGATTGGTTTATGATTTTCTTAAGGTCATGCTCCTGACTCCACTTGCATACTTAAAACACAGAATCCTAGCTCTTCATGGAAAATTATCTGGGTTTTTTTGGTTGCTGGAGACTCTTACAATTAGCTCTGAAATTTCATATATCTGTATTTTAGCCATTTTTAGATGTTGCAATATTTTAAATGCATACTTTACAGAAAACTATTAAATGTAATGAAGTTATCAGTGTGTAGTGGGCTTAAAATGTCACATTTGCATCTGTACTACACATAATTTGTTTTCTAGTAAAAATTGAAAGTGTTTGTGCATCTTTTTTTTATACTTTTTAATATACTTTTTTTATACTTTTCTTGTTTTGGCTTTTCTTTTCTTTTTTTCTGGCATTCAAAACTGTTTGGTCTAAGATACTATGAATTTGGAAATGTTGTTAAATTGATTCTTGTCATTCAGATAAATTTGCTAAGTTTATTTTTTTCCACTCTCTTTTAAATTGCACTACCACAAATATGGGTTTTTCATCAGAACTGGGAGTTGTCTCCCTTGGGGGACAGTGCTGAAGGGTAGAGTCCAGAAAGACTGGACATACTTCAAAAAAAGAGGTCTTAAAGGTGCCGGAGCAGGCTGCTGATGTACTGAAAGAAGAGTTGGCCATGAAGAAGAGCAGCCTGGCTGAAAAGAGAGCTTTAGCTGGAACTCAGGAACAGAAGGAGAATTTATGGCCTTTGGAAGAGGGGGCAGGCCTCTCATGAGGACTACAAAGATGTAGTGAGGCTATGCAGGGAGAAAATTAGGAGAGCCAAAGCCCAGCTAGAACTCAAGCTAGCTACAGCTATTAAATACAACAAAAAATGTGTCTATAAATACAGCAAAAACAAAAGTAGGGCTAGGTAAAATTTCCACTCTTTATTGGAGGTGGGGCGAAACTTGGTGACAAAGGATGAGGTAAAGGCTGAGGTGCTTAATGCCTTCTTTGCCTCAGTCTTTACCAGTACAACTAGTTGTTCCCTGGTCACCCAGCACCCTGAGCTGGAGGATAGGAAGAAGGGACAGAACAAAACCTTCTCAATCAAAGAGGAAACGGTCAGGGACCTGCTGCAACACTTAAAACATACACAAGCCTTATGGGGACGATGGTTTGCACCCAAGGGTACTGAAGGAGCCTGCATGTGCTCACCAAGCCTCCTTCCATCATTTACCAGAAGTCCTGGCAAACTGGGGAAGGCCCAGTGGACTCGAGGGTGGCAGATGTGACCCCCATCTACAGGAAAGGCTGGAAGGAGGATCTGGGAAACTACAGACCCATCCATCTGACATTGGTGCCAGGGAAGGTCATGGAGCAAATCATCTTGAGTGCTATTATGCACCATATAGAGAGCAACCAGGTGATGAGGCCTAGTCAGCATGGGTTTATGAAAGGCAGGTCCTGCTTGATGAACCTGATCTTCTACAACAAGATGACTTGCCTGGTGGATAAGGGAAACACTGTGGATGATATCTACCTGGACTCTCATAAAGCCTTTGGCACTGTCTCCCATGGCATTCTCATTAAAAAAACTGGCTGCTCATGGCTTGGATGGGCATGCTGTGGAAATGGAATTGTAATCTTGCAGTTTTCAACAGAACATCCCTGACTCTAGTCATCATTTTCCCGGGAGTGGTTTTACTAATTTGAAAATTCTTCGAGTTCCCTAACTTGCTCATTTTCCCTGTAATATTCAAATAACTGCATATAAGGTAAATGAAAGAAGGCAAATTTAATATTTGACAGTAAAACCTTTTCCTTTCTTTGGCATAGCGGGCTACTGCACGCTGGCTTTTTTTATGGCTGCATAGAGGATAAAAAAAGAATGATCCAGAAAAGATCTTTGATTAAATTAGTAAAGCTGGGAAGTACTCTATAATGTCATCACTATTTCCTGGAAGAAAAACACTGTGCTGTGTTTTGGCCTTCCTTATTACAAGAGGATGGATTCTAAGTAGTTTCTTTTGCTGTTGGGGTATTATAATTTCTTTTTTTTGTGGTAGTCTCTTGACTGAATGAGAAATACTTCTGCACTTGCTGTTCCATCTTTGTGGCAGATCTGTTGTCCTCTCCTTCCTTCTTATTGTCCAATACTTGTATTGTGGGATTTTGTAAGGATTAAGAAACATTTTCATTTTCTAAATTTTGGGGTGCAGCTTACAATCACAGTCAGACATTGCTGGAAGAACCTACAGGTACATGTTGAGAATAGTCACCTGAACTTTGAGGCTTCGAACCCTGGTTTCAAATACTGAGTCCTAACTCCCCACAGTCCAGATCACTCCTTTAAACTATCTCCCGCTTACTTTTTTCTCTTTTTTTCTCCTTTTTTTTAATTTTTTTTCTTTCTTCCTCTGTGGGTGGGTGGTTCATCATGAAAACAGGAAGAAATTGTTTCAAAATTTCAGAAGTTGCTGAACATTTTATTTTTTTTCACATTTGTA